TGTGTGTATTACATTAGGTGCTGTCCACCTTCTTTTTGAGATGCCTCTCACTAGCTTTTAGCTCATTCAGTAGGGATCTGTCTGTACAGCCTCTACAGTGCTGGAATTATGGGCACATTTGGCTGTGCCTGTGGGTTTCATGTAGATGCAAGAAACTGATCTCAGTTTACCAGTGAACTATCTCTCCAGCCACACATTTTCTTATCTAGGCAGTTGGGGTAGCATCTTAAAGTGCAGACAGTTCATATTGTCCATACTTAGCTGGAAACATACTTTCAAATTTACAATAATAGTGTTTCCTAAGAATTAATGAAATACTGAAAATGTCATCTAGTATATCATACTGAGTTAAATTATGTTTTGGTGTTTGTTTGAGACACCATTTAACTATACAGCCCAAGCTGGACTTAAACTGTGACCCTCCTGTCTCCCAGGTACTTGGATTACATGCCCAGTTTATATTTTTTTTTATTTTATATAACCAAGTCCATTTAAATTAAAACAAACATTTATAGACAATATTTGGGAATTTGGGCGTTGTTCTTTCCAAACTACTTCCTGCTGGTAAGGGGCGCTGTCATGGGGGATTCGAAGCCCAGTTTATATTTTAAGACTAAGAAAATATGCAGGATCTACAGCCATATCACCCCGAACGTGCCCGATCTCATCTGAAGAATAGATAGAGGTGGTGGTATCTCAGGCTATAATCCCAGCACTCAGGAGGCAGAGACAGGTGAATCTCTGCGTTTGAAGCCAGCCTGACTATGGAGAGAGTTCCAGATCAACCAGGGCTACACAGAGAAACCCTGTCTCAAAAACAAAAAACAAAACCAAACAAACAAAAAAAGGCTAATAAAGATTTTATTTAACTATGCTAAGAGTATATATATATATATATATATATATATATATATATATATATATATATATATATATGTTAATATAATAAAGGTCTTTATTGTTTGACAATTTCATAATATATTTTGCTCAAATCCACCTCAATAGTAAAAGCTTTACAGCTGTGAAAATATCATTTATTGTATAACTTCTAAGCTAATAGAAAAGGGAAAAGACATGCAAAAATTAAACATACACACAAAAACAAGCAATCAGATTGTGTCATGCTAACAGGAGATTGAACAAACAGACTACATGTAATTAGATATTAGAGATGTGACCAAACATTGTTTAAAAATAGTCTCTTTTCTCTCCTGCTTGTTGCATCAAACTCCATATTAGCCAAAAGTGACCTTGAATTTTGATCTCCCTGCCCACATATCCCAAATGATTATCAGAGTGTACCACTACACCCATTTTTGTTGTTATTTAGGTGACTATTTATTTTCAAGACAGGGTTTCTCTGTGTAGCCCTGGCTTGTCCTGGAACTTGCTCTGTAGACCAGGCTGGCCTTGAACTCACAGACATCCACTTGCCTCTGCCTCCCGGGTGTACCACCACCACCCGGCTCATTTGTTTTTCCAGTACAGATCAAAGTCAGAACTCTGTGCATATTAGGCAAGCACTCTACCAACTGAGCTGTATCACTAACTCTAAATAATAACATTAATAAAGCTTCTCCTCCTCCCCCTCCTCTTCCCTCATTAGATTGGAGGATCCAGCAGTAGTCTTGGGTCTGTGGCTGTGGTTGAGGCCGTGGCCATGGTCAAGGATGCAGAGCTCATGGAGGCAAAGCGAAGGACAAGAAGTGGATGCCAGTTACAAGCTGGGCCGCCTGGTCAAGGACATGAAGATCAAGTCCTGGAGGAAATCTGCTCGTTCTCCATGCCCATTGAGGAATCTGATATTAATCAAATTTTTCTTGGGAGTATCCCTAAAGGATGAAGTTCTAAGTTTATGCCTGTATAGAAGCAGACCTGAACTGACCAGAGGACCAGGTTCAAGACTTTTGTCGCTATTGGGTACTACAATGGTCATGTTGTTAGCCTTGGTGTTAACTGTCCCAAGGAGATAGCCACTTCCATCTGAAGGATATATACACATATATATATATATATATATGGATGGTTGTGGGAGGAGGGGACATTTTCTTCAGTGGTGTAACATGCAGCTATTAACAAATGTAATAAAATTCATACACAAAATATATAGAAACAAGGTAAGGAGGACAAGAGAGGGTAATGGAGACATGAACATGAGCTACATATGTACATGTATGCAATGTTATAATAAACCTATTATTACATATACTTTATACATATTATAAAACATTCTTAAAAGTTGAGAATAGCTGGGCACTTGTGACGCACGCCTTTAGTCCCAGAACTCATGAAGCAGAGGCAGGTGAGCTCTGTGAGTTTGAGGCCAGCCTGGTCTACAAAGCAGATGCCAGGACTGTTAGCACAGAGAAACCCTATCTCAATAAACCACACACACACACACACACACACACACACACACACACACACACACACACAGTTGAGAACATCTAATGTCAAGTAGGAATTTAATGGATAAACAATTTATGGTTTTATCCTTTGGAATCAATGACAAACTAATGGAAACCATTTAAAATTGTACATGCACCTGTAGAACTGAGAGTTCTATAGGTTAGCCTGAGCTATAACAGCAAGACACTGCCTCAAAAGTAAAAGAAATTAAAATGTGGGGTTAGTGAGCAGCTCAGGGTGGGGCCCTTCCCCTGGTGTGTGTGAGGCTCCGAGTTTCATCCCCAGAACTGGGGGAAATTTTTAATGTGCAAACATGCACACAGATCACTGGCAAAGCATTTGACTGAGTTCGACTATAGGTTCAGTCCCTAGAGACTCCAAAACCTTAACTCTCTATAAGAAATCTCTGAGGTGATGAAAAGCAATCTTATGGTGCTGTATTATGGTTAAAACCCTAACTAGATCTTATGTATACTTGCTCCCCAAGAAGAAATCCTTTTCCTTTTATTTTACTTTTGAGACAGAGGCTCACAATTGCCCAGGATGGCCACACATTTGTGGGCTCCAGTGGCCCTCCTGGTGACTCAGCCTCCCAAGCATCTGGGATGACAAGTACGCTCACAATGTGTTGTTTGAAATCTGGGTCTCAAAGCCAGGCATTTTGTGTTATGATTTCATAGTTAAACAAAATTAACTGAAAACAAGATTACAATTACTTTACTCTTATGAACTTTATACGGTTTATATTAATTATAAAATATTGAAAATGACAAAAGTCCTGTTTGTTAGTTAGTTTGTTTAAGACTAAGTTTGTTTAAGCCAAGCTGGCTTCAAACTTACTATATAGATGAAAATAACTTTGAATTTTTGAGTCTATTGCCTCCATTCCCAAGTGCTAGGATTACAGGCATATGTACCACACCAGAGGGTCAGGGTCCAAAGCCAGGGCTGTGTGCATTACCCGCAAGCATGCTATCAATTGAGCTATATCTCCAACCACACCAAGTGCTTTTAAAATTCCCAGACACATTCAGGAGCATTGAGATAAGTGAAAAGAATTCAACTACAAAAGATTGGAGGACAGGGCTGGAAGAGGTGGCACACACTTTTAATCCCAGCACTAGAGAAGCAGAAGCAGGCAGGTCTCTGAGTTTGAGGCTCTGGGCTACAGCGGGAGTTCCAGGACTGGCTCCATAGCTACTGAGAAACCCTGTCTCAAAAAAAAAAAAAAAAAAAAAAAAAAAAAGACTGGGAGCTGGAGAGATGGCTCAGAGGTTAAGAGCACTGGCTGTTCTTCCAGAGGTTCTGAGTTCAATTCCCAGCAACCACATGGTAGCTCACAACCATCTATAATGAGATCTGGTGCCCTCTTCTGGCAAGTAAGCATACATTCAGACAGAACACTGTATGTATAATAAATGTTAAAAATAATAATAATAAGATAAAGACTGGGCACACCTTTCTGGTGCTATTAAAAATGTCAATGGACAGGTTATGTGTTCTGAAAAGATATTCACATTCCAGAAAAATTCCTATTAAGGTCATGAAACTGGCCTGCAAACCCAGCTGTGCTATAGTGCACCAGACAGACAGAATTGGACCCAGATAGAATGGGACCATCTTGTCACACTTCTAAGTCACTGTGGCCGTTCCCAGGTGGGGTTCCCTAATCTACAAATTAATGATCAGATCCTCTGCAGGTATTTCATGTTGACTGGGAGTAATGGGCAGTAGTAAACTGAACTACCAAAAAGGAAAACCCAAAACCTATTGGAGCTTTCATTAGAACCAGATGTTTCTCTTTTTCTTGTACACTGAGGAATCAGCTGGGGGAGGGGGGTTGCACCAGATGGCTCAGCAGGTAAAGGCACTTGCTGCTAAGCCTGAAGACCTGAGTTCTGTCCCTGGGACCCATATGGTGGAGGGAGAGAACTGACTCTCACAGGTTGTCCTCTGTCCGCCACACATACACAATACACATAATTTAAAAAGTGTAGGTGGGAGAGGCCTGGCATGATGGCCTTCCTGTAATCCTAGCGCTAGAGAAACAGGCAGGAGGCTCGGTGTAAATGTGAGGATTGCCTGACTACATGGTGTCATGTTCATCCTGTATACGGTCTCAAAAAAATCAGAGCTAGGTATGGTGGCACTCACCTACAGTTCTAGCACTTTAGAGGTTGATGCAGGAGGAGACAAGTGTGAGGCTGGCCTGGGCTATCTAGTAAAACTACACCTCAAAAAACAAACAAAAGTGGGATGTAGTTTAGCCTTTTTTTCTTTTTTTAACATTGGTTTGCATGTGTGTGATGGAGTGTTTGCCCCAGCTTGCATGTGGTGGTCAGAGAACAACATTCTCTCTCCTTCCACAAGCTAGAAGGAATCAAACACAGATCACCGTTACCTGCTGAACTGTCAACAGACCCCTGAATTTGTCTTTTGTATCATTCACTGGCAAAGAAATGCTAAGTGCACCAGCAAATGTGCAGCCAGGAGTAAACCTCCCCTCTCTTAGGCTAGTTTTCAACAGTAGCCAAATGATATTTCACTTCCTTCGGAAAATGGGAAAAAATATCAGACAGATTACAACTCACCACTGGGACACTTTCTCGAGCTGTCAGATGTGATAGGTGCCCAGCTTCAGACGGCTTCACCTCACAGGCCTCTTGGGTTTGGCTATTAGCAAGCCTCCCTGGGTCTGAGTGATTCAAAGACTGGAGTGGCTTTGACATGCTGGAGACACAGGGGACATGAAGCAGATCCACTAATGGTGACCCACGTGCTGCCAAGGGATGTTTCCGTATAGCACTCAGGAAGAGGTGATGAGGCCTGCCCAGAGCCAACAGTAAAGACTGCCAGAAGTTCCCAGTAGTGTCTCAGTGCTTAGTCAGGCCTCGGGAGGAACTGCCTGCCGAACTAGTTTCTTGAAGACAACATGGACCTAGTTTTAAAGAGAGTGTAGAATAGCTGAGTGTCGAATAATGTCATTTTAATACACACACATTCACACACACTCATATCATTTCTAATGCTATGTAGGAGTCATAGCTTTATGATCTGTGAATTTCCTTTATTTTCTATTTTTGAGTCTATCAGAAATGCCAGCTATAGCATTCAAGGAGCAGCCAAATCATAAAAACTCAGATATGTATTGATAATGTGCATACAATCATTTATAGAGCACTTTATGCCCCAGAGGAAAACATAAACATAACCTCATATTGCTTTCTTTTCAGTGTTAAGGATCAAACCCAAGGTCCTAGAGTGTGTTAGTGTTACTGGAGGTCAGGGCCTAGACTGGGTATTTGCAAGAATATATATGTATATATTCTATGTGTATGTGTGCATGCCTGAGTATCTGTATATTCACTGAGTATGTGCATGTGTGCATGAGCCCTCGACAGTCAAACGAAGGCACTGTATCTCTGAGAACTGATGTTAAGGCAATTGTGAATATCCATGGGTGTGCTGAGATTCAAACCTGGGTCATCTCCAAGAGAAGTGAGTGTCCTTCATCCCTGAGCCATCACTCCAATCCCGTGCTCATTCACTAGCAAAGAAGGACACTCAGGGGCCTGGTTATTATTTAGGAATTTCTTTCATGGTTTGGTGTTTACACACACACACACCAGGTTGTCCTCTGACCACCACAGGTGCACATGGTAAGAACACATGCACACACATGTGATTATTTTCTTTTAAGTGGAAGCTGAGTTCTATCTAAGGTTATCTAAGGTTACAGCTTACTCTCTACAGCTCTTTGAAAACCCCATCCTCATACTGTCTGTGTCTTACTTTCTTACACAGCTTACTATAATTTACTTATTAGAAAGAACAAAGCATATTTTTATGTTTGCTTTACCATGTCACGCCGGAGATCAAGAGAAAATCTCAAATCCAAGATCAATTCCCAAGAGACACCCCAATGAGTGGGCGTTGCGCACAATTTGCCAGTAGAATGTTCGCATGTCACGGAAACTGTTGCTAGGTGAGCACATCACAGATGAGTAGGGAATGCAGGGACCCTCTCAGAGTGGCAGTTAGACTGTGGTTAGTGTCCTAAATCAGGAAATAAAAACACAAAGTCTTTTTCACCAAGTCTTAGTTAACAAAACAAAACAAACAAACAAACAATGCTCAGGAAAGTGAGCGATTCTACCAAAGTGACTGATCTCTCCATCAAATGTGAGTGTCCTTTTTGGAGGCTTTTGTGAAGTTCCTGAATAGATCAAGTGGTGGTTACACTCTAGTGTGTGTGTGCGTGTACATATAAGGTATATGCATATATGCTTTAATATATATATATATATATATATATATATATATATATAATCCCTAAGAGGATAGAAAATTATAATTCTAGCTACTATTTCTAAGGAAAAGATGATTTATCTCAAAACTGGAATTTTCATTCTAGGCAAATAATTTCACAGCAAAGGAAGTCTGTCCCTAGTATACATATATTATTGATGCCGAAATAGCAGAGAATACACTTCAAATATCAAAGAATACTGATAGCCTAATCTCATTCCAAGTTCTGAGTCAAGGGTAGAGCCTGGGCATAAATAATTTTGAAGCTATAAGACCATTCAAATGTAAATTTAGGGCTGAAAATGACTGTCCACTGTCTTTATGTAGCTCTGGCTGACCTAGAACTCACTATGTAGATCAGTCTGATGCTGAATTCACAGAGGTCTTCTTGCCTCTGCCTCCCAACTGCTAGGACAAAAGGCATGTGCCACCATGCTACATTTAATTTTTTGATAGATATTATGTAAATAAAAATGGAGTTTGGGGGGGAAATGACATACTGCATTAGTCATGACTGCCATTGTTTGCATTTAAATATTTTTCCCAGAAAAGTGGTCATTTTTGTCTTTACTTATTTGCCCTGTTTTCAGTATTTGGCAGGATTGCCTTTCTTTCTATGAAATTTCAAGACAGGGTTTCTCTGTGTAACAGCCCTAGCTGCCCTGGAACTCACTCTGTAGGCAAGGCTGGCCTTGAACTCATAGAAATCGATTTGCTTCTGCCTCTCAAGTGCTGGGACTAAAGGCAAGCACCACCACCGCCCAGCTCCTCATTTGCTTTCTAAGACAACAGGATTCTATGGTTTTCCTCTACGTTAGGTTTTGCTTTTTCATCCCCCCTCCCCCCTCCTCATTTCCTGAAATTCTTTTTCTTTTTTCTTTTTTTAAAAGATATGTAAGAACGGATGTGGAGTGGCAGCTTTGTGATTAAGAGCCTTGGCTTCTCTCCCTGAGGACCTGGGTTCCATTTGCAGCACCCATATGACAGCTCACAACCATCTGTGTAACTCCAGTTCCAGGGGATCTGACAAACTCTTCTGGCCTCTGGGGGAACTAGCCATGCAAACTGTGTACAGACATACATGCCTGCAAAACACCCATACACAGAAAATAAAAGCAAACAAATATATATAAAAAAAAGATGTGTGTGAAAGGTCTCATATGGGGGCTCAAGGAGACACTGAGATGAATTGTTGGAGAGTAAGAAATGTATTAAAGAGCTGCCATGGACAGACAAACATAGTGCCTTTCTGAGGAGAGTTCAAAGCCCAGGTCCAGAGACAGGATAGCTCGGTGGGGACTCTGAAGAGAGGACATCAGGGCTCAGGAGGCAGAAGCAGGATTCTCTTACTGAGGACAGGTACAAGCACAAGCCTACAGCTTCCAGGAGGCAGAGAAGGGGGTCGGCAGCAGAAGTGCAGCCACTCATACCCACCTGCATGTAAACTCACCCCTCCAGGTCGGAGCCCTGCCACCTGCCACTCTTAGCTAGAGACTCAGACTCAGAGTGCCTCAGTAGTGTGCCTGTGGGTGTCTGTGACACAGAGAGCTGCTGCCAGGTCCCATAGTAGTTGAGCAGCAGGTGTATCCTGACAGAGAAAGAGAGAGACAGAGAGAGAGACAGAGAGAGACAGAGAGAGAGAGAGTGTGTGTGTGTGTGTGTGTGTGTGTGTGTGTGTGTGTGTGTACACCAAACCTGTATGCAGAGGTCAAAGGGTAATTTTCAGGAACCAGTTCTCTCCTTCCACTGTTCTGAGGGAGGGTCTCTCTCATCCTTTCCAGCCTAGACATGATTCTCCTGCCTCCCATCCAACAGGAGGCATGCTGGATTTGCAGATACCCTCCATTGTGCCCATCTTGTCTGGGTTGGAACTCAGGTTGTCAGGCAAGTGTTTTTACCCACAGAGCCATCTCCCCTATCCATTTGGAATTCAAAACATTGACATGTTCTAGGGACTCGATGTCCAGGAGGCATCTAAAAACATTTTAACTGATTTGGGGGTCTTATTCTCCAACACGATCCTTTCACAAAAAAAAAGTTAAGATGGAATTCGGCCTGCCTACTTGCTCAGGCCAAACCCCTGCTTTCTCTCTTATATTCTGAGCCCCTTTCCTGAGTCAGGTTTCTCTCATATCAAATACCCAGAGAAACTTCTCTTACCATACTTGTAAGCCCAGCATTCATGCTGAGGATGTGGTACAGCAGTTCAGTGCTTATTTAGCATGTGTGTTGTGTGACTTTCAACAGTACAAGATTAAAAATTAAATATATATATATATCGTTTTCCCATCTCCTCTGACATCACCACCTATGCGGTTGTTTTTTTTTGGGGGGGGTCGGTTTTGTTTTTCCTATTTTTTTTTTTTTTTTTGAGTCAGGGTTTCTGTGTCACCCTCCCTGTCCTGGAACTCGCTGTGTAAACCAGCCGGCTTAGAACTCAGAGCTCTGCCTGCCTCTGCTCCCTGAGCGCTGGGATTAAAGCGAGTGCCACCAGGCTTGGCTGTGGTGGTTGCAAAGAGAATGTCCTCCACAGGCTCCACAGTTTGAGTGTTTTGTTCCCTAGTAAGTGGAGGGCTAGAATGCCCTTGCTGCAGTGGGTATGTCACTGGAGGGATGCTCTTCCCATGCTTCATGCACTGTCTGCTTCCTGTTTGGAGTTTGAGAAGCAAGCTTGCAGTTGCTGCACTAGCTAACCTGCTACCACATTTCCCTGCTGTGATGCTGATGGGCTCTCATCCCTCTATAAGCCCAAAGAAAACCTTTGTTTTGGTTGGTTGGTTTTTTTTTTTTTTTGGAGACAGTGTTTCTCTATGTAACAGCCAACCCTAGCTGTCCTGGAACTCACTCTGTAGACCAGGTGAGCCTTGAACTCACAGCGATCCACTTGCCTCTGCCTCATGAGTGCGGAGACTAAAGATGTGTGCCACTGCTGCCCAGCTTAAAAACCTTTTTATAAATTGCTTTGGTCATAGTGTTTTATTTATCACAGTCACAGAAAAGACATTGGCTTTGCTGACTTTTTTTTTTTTTAATAGCATGTCTCTGAGATGAAATGTCACTTAGCAGTCAATGCAGCATTTTCCCAGCAGGTACAGGATCCTGGTTTCCATCCCTAGCACTGAAAATTAAATTAAATAGCATGGCTATTTTTCATGTCTAAAATTACATATGTAATTGGTGTTTGTATCCCCCACCAGAATGTGAGCTGGGTACTAAGCTAGCTCTCTAGGATGCTGTCAATATTTGAAGCAGAATTATTGCCATGGAATGGCTTTTCAAGAGTCAAATGTTCAATGAGAGAACTATACAGGTCACACATAGATACTGTGGGTGAAATCCAGTCTGTTGAGATGGCAAAGGCTTAGGGATGAGGAATCAAAGTTTGGGGCCTAACCTAGACATAGCTTTGGGCCATAGGCTTATGGGCTTAAGACCATTTCCCTATCTTTTAGATGG